TTTTACGTTTTACTAATCTTAAACGGTTTTATGTACTTAAATCGTATATACGTGCTGAAAATATTTCTGGCGACGTAACATTCGATTTGTAAAAAGTTCTAGAAATTCACTCAGTAACCATCTACCTCTCTGACTATGGTAAGGAACGGCTGGAGGAGGAAGAAAAAGAAGGGCCAAAACTGCCTGATTTTGTAAAAGCGGTTGAAAATGGAGCCGAGATGGATAAGTAACGTTTATTGTATTAAACAATGAATAAGAAGTAGTTTTTTTACTGGTCAAAATGGCTCACTGTTGCCACTACAAAGCATTAATAGAATAACAGTTTAGCAGAACTCGTGAAGCCCTTAGGGCTTATGAATTGGCCAGAATGCGTTATTATTATGCCATCATCGAATGTGATAGTGACAAAACTGCATCTGCTATATATGAGTCTTGCGATGGAGTTGAATTTGAAAACAGCTCAATTCACATGGACCTTCGTTTTGTCCCGGATGAAATGACTTTTGAGGTTTTTACATGTCATTTTCATTTGTTCAGGAGGATCGGAAATTCAAATGCATCTTGTTCTTTGAGGTCTTCTGAATGATCTCAACGTTTTTTCAGAAAGAAATGATAAAAGATAGAGCTACTGAGGACTCTATAAGTTTTAACAGTTTCAAACCAAAAAACTTCCAAAGCGCAGCTCTTTCAAGCTCGTCGTCGAAATTGACGTGGGACGAGACTGATCCTGAAAGAATTAAAACTTTACGTCAAGCTTTTGATCCCAAAGCCGATTTAGAGGAATTTGAGTACAGTTTGAGATTTTTTGTTTATTACGTTCTTTAAAATTGGTACAAAGTGAGCTTTTAAGTGAGATCACTTTTTTTTTTGTTCTTCCAAAGTAGCTTTTTTTTGAAGGCCTTTCTTCAAATATTTTCTACTCTACTCTTACTTTCTTGCAGGCATCTGGTAGCTCCCGCTTCGTCAGATGAAGAAGAACTTTCTGCAGACAACAAAGCCAAAGTTTTGCTAGAAGCCGCTATAACAAAGAATAAAGGTGAGCAAGACAAGCTTGAAGTGACTTGGGAGCAAGGACTTCAACCGTCTAGTTTGCAACCTCAGAAAAGTAGTGGATCAAAGGAACCGACTCATTGGGAGAAGTATTTGGAAAAGAGAAGATTAAAAAGAAAGGTAGGATCTCAAAGATTATGTAATCAATTTTGGTTTTGATTTGTTCTGTGACTGACTACTCTGAAAAGAAATTTTTTCAGGAACGGAGGGCACGTATTACTGAACTTAAAGAAAAACAGAAGCAAGAGGCAGAAGATGTTCCTACTCATAACGTTTCGGTATCAAGATCGAAGAAAAAATCGTATGGAAAGAAGCAGATCAATGATGTTGAGATCAATGACGAGAGGTTCTTTTATTAAATAATGAATCAACTCCACTGTATCTTTCCTTTTTCTCCTGCCATATCTGGAATTTTAGGTTCGCTGAACTGTACACGAACAGTGCGTTTGCAATCGATCAAGCAAACCCTCTATATAAGCCGACTAGCTTAGTCATGAAACAGGTATAGAGTATTTCATACCGGTCTCTGTCTCCTTAATAAAAATACTTCATACATTGCATTGCCTTTTCAAGGTGTCCGAAAAACAGAAAGGTCTTCGAAATAAGGGACCAGAAGACGACTCCTCATTTCTGGTTGAAAGGCTAAAAAAGAAGGCTAAACGGGCGAGCGAATCTAAAAACTCCGTGATAAGCAAGTAATTTGTCGGTCACACATTTTTTTGTTTCGTGTTCTCACTTCCTTAGGGTTTGTCAAATTTTCTGTTGATATTTGGTGATAAATTAACGGGCCGTCTTGGTAAGGTTTTTTTCTGTTAAGCAACAAAAAGCCGGCAGTATTAAACAAGCCTTTTAACTATTTGGTATCAGATCTGCTCGACGAGCTCAAAAGGTAGTGGTGTTTCTCGTTGCCGTATTTCGTGTAGATCCTTTTTCTTTACAGATGATAGTTAAGTAGCGAAGGAAGTTTGAGGTATTTGGAGATCTGAGTCAATAGAATGCTGTAGTTCATTTTGCTATTCAAACTTATTAAGTGTTTATAGTTTACACTGTAGTGTTAGAATCTTTTAAAAATTTCAAGAACCTTGAATGACATTACCCTGAAGGCTGTAACGAAAATACCCTAGAATTAGTTTGCTTTCAGTATTGGGCGAAAGTTTCGTCAAATCTTAAATATTTTCTGTAAAGTGTAACTACAACAAAATGTTTGTGGAGTTGCATCATGCATTAGCGATTTTTTATGTAATCTGTTTGTATAACTTCCAAGTAATATCGTCCTCCAAGAAATCTAGTTTTTCTGTGATTATAATTGGCTCTCAATCTTGTATATGTTCTGCAGGTTTCATAACTGCTTAAGTACATACGGTAACAGATCTCTTTAAAAAATTTTTACCTGTTAATTTAAATCATGTGACTTTGGAATTCATCTCATTTTTAAGAGTTTGAAGAGTATATCAGCATTTAGCATAAATGAAGATTGTGTAGGATAAGCAGGAAGTGACCGCCATTTTCAGGGGTTAGGGAAGTAAATAAATTGAAGGATAAAAATTGTGAATGAAAAAACCAAAGTTTATTACAATTCAGTTTTTGATAATAAGAAGTTTGAGCATCGCCTCCACTCACGTAATGAGACTTTGGTAGAAGCAAAAACATTATGGTTTACTTTTGTGGAATATGTTGAGTCACTTCTTTTACGGTAACTGATCGGTTCTTTCTGTTTTACCTTGAAAAATCATTCCTCAACACTTATCTATCAGTATAAAATCTACGGTACTGAACATCTTTTGCGTTGGGGTTTTTTTTTTTTTT